GGGGGGGGGGCTTCAGACCATCTCACTCCTGGGATCAGGCCATGGATATTGGTCAGTAAGGGGGTACACAAAGAAAAAGTGGAATCTGGGAGTGTCTCACAGGGATGAAGAGAGAATCATGACTATTAAGACTGGAATGATCATCTAGTTTAAGCCCCTAACTTTGCAGAAAAGAACATGAGTCTGGAGAAAGCCAGGACTTGCCCAAGTTCATATGCCAAGTTGGTGGTAGAGCCAGGACTGGACCCAGGTCTTCTGACTCCCACAGGAGTGATGGCCCCATCTTGCCACTGAAAGAGTAACTCTTGTATCTGAGCCAGAAAAGCAGTAATAGTGCCCTTTCGTCTGCTCTGCACCCCCAAACCATCCCTGCCTCTCAGCCTCTGTGCAAGGAATAGTCACAGGGGGAAAATGAACCATCATCCCCATGCTGTTATGCCAAACATTCTCCCTACAGCTGCTCATACCAAGGACCTCTCTGCTTTCAGCAATGGGGCAGGAAGAATGGATGGGGTAGGAGCCAGCAGAGAGGGAAGACAGCTCAGCCTGGCGCTGGGTGGGGCATGCCCCTAATCTCTCTCTACCTTTGCATCTTGACTTGTCAGCTGGCGGATGCCTTTAGGGCCAATGACCAGGTCCACAGTGATGTTCCATCCTTGCTGAAATAAAAGGAGAGAGTGAACTGCTGCCCAAGCCATGCCCTGCTCACATTTCAGAAATCTGAAAAAGGCCCACTAAGCTAGACACAGGCTCCTGTCTCTTGGGCCACTCCAACTCCTTCCACTGCAAATTCCTGCCACACAGATTATCCCCCTCCCCAAACCCTGCCCACTTCCCAGAGTTGGAGCCAAGATTTCAGTTCCTGAGGCAAGTAGATTAATGTTAGTTGCATTTTAGAGCAGGTCAGTACAAGCAAGCAAAGCCCCTTCTCTGCCCCCCTTGATGGCCTCCTGGCTCCCTTTCCCAAGAGGCCTGGAATTCAGGTCAAGGAGAGAATTACAATGAGTTCACAGCGATAGGTCTCCTGGTCAATGTTGGCAAAGCCGGCAAGAGTGTTGAAGAACTTCATGACGCACTCCTCCTCCCTGAGCGAGGCATACTGCTGGAATGTCTGCTGGATCATCTTCCGGAACTGCTTGGGCTGGGGGGAGGTGGGCAGGGGTGAGCAGGCTCCTCCAAGCTCTGGTTCCTTCCCTTAGGATCTCACTGAGAGCCTGCCTGCTGCTGTAGGATGGTCCCCAGGCCTCTGCTGTGAGGGCAGTGACGATGTCTTACTTAGAGCTCACACCTGTCGTCTTAAGAGAAGCTCACCACAGCCCTGGGAGGGAGGCAAGGGAAGCAGTGTCCCCAGTGCTGAGGCCACACAGCTAACTGACCTCTGATGTGGAATTAGAGCCAGCTTTCCTGATTCCCATGGAAAGGGTCCACTGGATACATTTCATGGTCCTATGTCCTGATGGCCCAAGGTGGCACAGACACCCTGGCTGTATCCCCAGCCCTATACCTTTAGCTCTACTCCTGGGAACCAGCACAAAGGGGGTCTTTCTGGACCCCTTACTCACGTACCTTTAAGTTCTCCTGCATCTGCTTTGGGAAAAACAGGTCAAGCCCTACTTCCTTCCTAAAAGAAGAAGAAAAGCATCATTTGACTACCCCTCTCCCTCAATGCAGGACTTCTGGCCAACTGGGGAGAGGTGAGACGGCTCAAGGACTGGGGAGATGGGTCCTGCCTGGCTCTGGTCTGGGGATGAGTGGAATAGAGGGTGAATAGGAAAAGCAGGGCAGCAAGAAGGGAGGAGAGGCAGGGGCAGGTCTCAGAACTTACTCCAGGAGCTCGAAGTTGGACTTTTTGTCAAGTGCGTTGTGGGGCATGTCCTTGAAGAACCGCCTGGAGGGAGAGAAGTCATGGAGAGGCTGATGGCTAGAGAACAAAGCCACCAGAGCCTGGTTGCCCAGTGTCCACATGTTGGCCCAGAAACCCCCTCTCCCTGACACATTTGGGAACCACTGGGAGGGAGAAAATCAGGAGAGTCAAAAAATTTGATACTTAGAAAACCATGAAGAAAAGGAAAACCCACAAATCTCATTCCTAGAAAAGACTCCAGCCCTGTGCTCTGGGAGGCCCAGCTCTGGGACTGCCCGGCTATTGGGCAGAGGAGAAAGATGGTGCTTCTATCTGTGGCCTCTACCAGCAAATGACCCAAGGCAGCCAACACTCAAGCTGTCAGTCTAGGAACACCCACCTCCACCTTCAGGGTCTGGGTTTCCTTTGCTATTTTTTTCTCTCGTTTGCTGTCCCTGAAACATTGTATGTGTGTGTGTTGGTGTGTTCACTTAAATAATGATTGAATGTAGTATATATGAAAACTTTAGAACTTCTGGAACAGAAGAAGAAAAATAAAAATAATCCATAATCCTATGACCAGGGGTGACATTAAAAGAAAATATACATTCTTTTTTTAACCCTCACCAGAGGATATTTTTTCCATTGCTTTTCAAAGAGAGCAGAAGGGGGAGAGAGAGAAAGCGGTACGTGCCCTTGTCTGGAATCAGTCCGGGACCCTTCAGCCTGCAGTCTGACTCTACCACTGAGCAAAACTAGCTAAGGCCAAATATATAATCTTTAGGTCTCACTAAGTATATGTCTTGATGGAGATTTTAATGTATTATTTATTTATAGCAATTGTTCAAGTAGAGACCAAATAGTCAATGTCCCCACTTGTGTCTCCTTCATTCTCTGCCTGGGTCACCATGTCTAGTAATTTTGCTTGTTGCAGATGTTGTCACACTTTTAATCTTATATTAGAGTGACTCAGTGTTCCTTTAACCCAGCTGCCATTATACACATCTGAGAACAGTCTGTGCTGATACTATAAGCAGAGATAGGCAAGTAACTTAAAATTTAAAAGATATGAATTTAGACAATTCACTATGATTAGAAAATAGTAAGATTAGATCCTCATCTCATACTTTATTTTAAACATTGATTCTAGATGGATTAAAGGGATAGATGTAACAATAAAATCATTTTCAAACTACAAGAAAATTTAGGGAAACATTCCCAAATCACAGAATTAGGAAGAACATCTAAAGCATGAAATCATAGAAGAAATCCCAATTAAAACACATAATGTTAAATCCTTAACAATTTTTTTTTAAATTTTAAAAATATACCTTTATTGATTTCAGAGAGAGGAAAAGAGAGGGAGAGAGACACACAGAAACATCAATGATGAGAGAGTCATTGATCAAGCCCACAACTGGGCATGTGCCCTGACCAGGAATCGAACCCTGATCGCCTGGATCCCAGGTCAACGCTCAACCACTGAGCCACGCCTGGCCAGGCAAATCCTTAACAATTTTTAATAAATGGTGTTGTTTTGTTTTAATTTAAATAATTTAAATTATTTTTTATTTAAGTATAGTTGGTATACTATTTTATATTGGTTATATTAGTTTCAGGTATGCAATATAGTGACTCAGCATTTTTATACTTTACAATGTGATTACCCCATTAATTCTACTAAGCATCTGTCATCATGTAAACTTATCACAATATTATTAATTATATTCCCCTTCCCCTTTTCACCCATCCTCTCCCCCTTCCTTCTGATGACCATCCTTTTAGTCTCTGTTTTCTAAGAGTCTGTTTTTGTTTGTTTTGTTTGTAGATTCCGCATATAAGTGAAACTATACTATGTTTGTCTTTCTCTGCCTGACTTATTTCACTTAGCACAACGCCTTTTAGGGCAATCCATGTTGTTGCAAATGGCAAGATTTCATTGTTTTTTATTCCTGCATGATATTTCATTGTATATATATCCTTAACCATTTTTAATAAATGGTGGGTTTTTAAAAATTTATATTATTTTATTTTATTTTTCAATTACCGTTTACATTCAATACCATTCCATACCTGGGCTCCCTACCTGCAGAGGTGGCCTCCTCCATAACTACACATCTACTTAGTAGAAAGTTTCAGATGTACAGCAAAGTAGCTGAAAAACTATCCACTCTAACCTCCCCCTTCCCCTGCTGACTCACCCGGCCCAAACCCAGTTGTCTCAACATTATTGACTATACTCTCCGTGCTGTAATCCACATCTCTGTGGCTATTCTACAACTACCAATTTGTACTGCGTAATCCCCTCACCCTAATAAATGGTGGTTCTGAATATATTGTCAAGCAAGATAAGCAGCTAGGTTTTAATAAATATGGTCTCAATTTTAAAGGGAAAAAACAGCATTTGTAAAAAATTATACTGGATCTAACTTGTTAATGGGAGTTACTTCTGGTTATTGAAATTGCAGATGATTTTAGTCAGTTTTTTCTCCTTTTCTACATGCTCCAAGTATTCCACATTGAACAAGTATTGCCCTTTTTACTTGAAAAAAAATTAAGGCAGTGAGATTATTCAATCTACTGTAATGTGAGCTGTCTGGGCTCCCTACCTGCAGAGGTGGCCTCCTCCATAACTACACATGTACTTAGTAGAAAGTTCTTCCCTTTCCCTACTTTTCACAGATCCCCTGGGGCTCCAAATATTAAGTTTAACTCCTTTCTTAGATATCATACATTTGAAAGCAATTATTTTATCCTGACCTCTTTTCTCATTAGGGTCCCCTCTCTTCTCCCAGCCCCCAGCACACACATACGCCAGCTCATCATCCTCAGTTACTTCAACCACTTCACTCAGATGAGAAAAATTGATGTGAAATACAAATGAGAAAGAAAAGAATGGCTATGTGATGAGAAGGGCACAATAAGGCAAGTGGTTCTTTCTAGCTGGGGCAAGTTGAGTTGTTTCAAATGACAGTAGTTGGAATGAAAAGAAAGCAAAAGATAAAGTCTTTGATATAAAATTTCTCTTATAGAATAAAAAGTGGTTACATTAAAATGAGTATTAAGTAAATAATATTTAATGATGGTTCAGTAAATATTGCTAAAATATATTTTACAACATTGAGATGCATTTCTTGCCTATATCCCTCCAAAAAAAAGGTGCAAGGATACAAAGTTTACATATTTAAATGAAGTAGGCCTAGAAAGAATCCAGGCAATGAGATAAGTGAGCTAAAGAATATGACAAACCTGTGGTTTGGGGTCTGGTCATCTCTCAAGCCAGGATATTGGATAGAAGACCTCACTAAGTGCACAATTCACCAAGAGAAAACATTTACCATAAAACAGGAATTTCATTTCTTAGAATAAAAAGTTTGAAAACCCAGTTATTGAAGGAAAACTGATATTCTCAATATTCATTTAACCAAAACAATGAGAAACCAATTTTATATGCTTCTTTTTCTCCTGTTGCAACTTTAGTAAATACCAACAATATAACATTAAAGCACAACTCAGTAAATGTGATCCCTGGAGGGCCTAGCGTTTAGTGGTGCAAGCATATGACCTTCCAATGGTCTAATTCAGTGATTCTCAACCAGAGGCAATTTTGCACCTCCTTCCCCAGGCTGGAAATATTTGGTAATGTCTGGAGATCTTTTTGGTTGTCACACCTGGTTAGGAGGAGGAATGGTCCTACCAGCATCTAAAGTGTAGAGGCCAGGGATGTTACTAAGTATCCTACAATGCACAGAATGGTCCCTATAACATAGAACTATATGGCTCAAAATGTCCCTATTGCTGAAGTTGAGAAACCCTGGCAGCTTGATCCAAGGAGAGAATTTAAGGAACTAGGAAGTGTGGCTCTTCCCTAACCCTTCTTTTTACCAGGTATCTGACAGAGCAACATAGCAGATGCTGGAGGAGTATTCCAGCTGATTAGGGCAGGTCTGATCTTTGGAAACCAGATCACAGGTAAGCAAGAAAGACATTCAATAATAGAACATAAGAACCCTATACAGACATATGTTTATTGCAGCATTATTTTCAATAGCCAAGATATGGAAGCAACCTAAGTGTCCATCAACAGATGAATGAATAAAGAAGTGGTGCATATATACAATGGACTATGACTCAGCCTTAAAAAAAGAATGAAATCTTGCCATCTGCAACAACATGGATGGACCTACAGGGAATTGTGCTAAGTGAAATAAGTTAGACCAAGAAAGACAAATGCCAGATGATTTCATTTATATGTGGAATCTAAAAAACAAAATAAATCAACAAGCAGAACAGAAACAGACTCATAGATACAGAGAACATTTTGACAGTTGCCAGATGGGAGAAGGGTTGTGGGGAGGGTGAAAAAGGTGAAGGGATTTAGAAGTACAAGTATGTAGTTACAGAATAGTCATGGGGATGTAAAGCACAACACAGGGAATATACTCAATAATATTCTAATAATGATGTATGGTGTCAGATGGGTACTAGATTTATTGGGGTGACCATGTCATAAGTTGCATAAACGTCTAACCACAGGGTTGTCTAATGTAATATTGTATGTCAACTGTAATTTAAAAAAACAACAACAAGTCAAGAACCTTATCCAGGATTCTCCCCTGAATTGAAAATCATTCTATCCTACTTCTACCTGAGGTGCCTGTGGTTAAGATCCCAAATTTCCATGCAGTCAATCATGGCAGTTTTAGAAGGTATTCTGAGCCAGTGTTGCCCACCCTCCACTTTCATAGACAACCTCAAAACATGCCTGCAAAGTGTTGATTCCAGGCAGTGTGGCCATCCACGATTCCCACTGGGTTGAGTGAGCTGCAAATAGACTCCTAGGTAACTGAACAAATTGGCTTGCTGTAAACAATTATTTAATTCTAACAGAATAAATGTTGGCAAACGTGCACCAGAGAAGAGAAATTTATTTATTTCAGAATTATTCATTCATTCAAATATAGACTGTGCCCTAATCATGTGTCAGGTGAGGGGAGTGCCAACCCTGACTTCAAGGATTTGACAAGATTTCACAATCTAGTGCATGTGAGCCAATCAGTACCTACGGTAGAGTAGGTAGGGTTGGCATGGGGAAGGGAAGGCTTCATGATGGAGAAACTCTTGAGCTGGCTTTTCAGGAAGAGCCTATGGCCACCATATTGCTTATTATCAATACTTCACAGGTGTGCTCTGAGGTTTTCTATGAATGCAGAGGGCAAGCAGGCAACACTGGCTTAGTAACTTTTCTAAAGCTTCCAGAATAAAGAATCGTTTACCAAGCTGATAGGGGGAATGAGAAGAGTACGCCAGACAGAGGGGATGCATTCCTCACTAAGGGGGTGAGAGCTATTTCCAAGTCCCAGACACAGTGGTCTCTTAATGTCACTCCTGGTTTATGGCAATTGTTGAATGAATGAATGAATGAGTGTTGAGACTAAGGATGGATAAAAGAATTTTGAGGACTAGAATATTTAAATAAGCCTTAGTAAAACAAAAGTTGGGGTTGGCTAAATCGAAGGGTAAACAAATTTTGAAATGAACACTGAGGAATTAAAACACATGAAAATAATAGCAATTTTAGAACGATTAAGGAGGTGGTGAGTGGAAAAATGTTTTATTAGGGGAAAGGTAACTCAGGTAACATACCTAGGTCATCCCAATCTCTTGAAATCCAACTCACTCCCTATATCATTGATTGCCCTTCTCTCATGCACTGAAGATCAGTTATTGTGTTATTTTTTACAAAGTACCCAATTATTCAAGTATGCCATGATCTGTGTGTCTCTAATATTTAAGCGGTTGAACATCACTGGGATGTCTGGGAGAACCAGTTACCACTGCTAATCAGAGGTACTGCTTTTTTCAGAGATTGAGCTTCACAATCTTCTGGGCTTAGTCCCATCTCAGCTGCTGTGAGTGAGCACCCAATGATCCCCAACCTGCCCCAATTGTCACCGTTGAATGAGGATGCATCTGCTAGGAGCACCCTCTAGTACCTGGCTGGTTCTCCCCAGCCCAGGTCTGCATTTTAACCAGCTAACACACCAGGTGGACAGAGAGCCTATGGACAGGCACATCACTTTTAGCCATGTAATGACAGCAGAAAGTAAAGAAATATCTTTGCAAAATCCAGTTGGTAGTGTTTCCCTTCTAAAAAGCAATAGAAATATTAACTCAACACCAACATTCCTAAACTATGGGACAAAATGCCTTTTGAAGCCAGCTGAGTGTTCTTTCTCTAATCTTTACTTATTATTAGCTACTACTTAACTACTATTGAGTTATGCATTCACTCTGAGTTTTTAGGTCAGAGTGTCTGGGACTCCGCTGGGTGTTGGCAATGGTCCTGATGTCTCAGGTGAAGGGGAAGCTATTTGGTTCCTCAAACTGGGCAGGTAATTTCTAGCATGTGGACCATGAATTTCACATTTTAACTTATAGGGGGACATGTAGATAAAATGATATATTTGGCATTTATAATGCACCTCCAATAAATCAATAAAATTGATTAGGTATGACTCCAACATATGAAATCCTGGAAAAGACAAAACTATGAAGACAGTAAAAATATCAGTGGTTGCCAGGGGTTGAGGGGAAGGAGAGATGAGTAAGTGGAACACAAAGGATTTATTTTAAAAGATTTTGACACCTCTACTTTATTATGCTTTTTTCCTTTAAAAAAAAAATTTTATTGATTGATAAACACCTATTTGTTGTTCCGCTTACTTATGTATTTATTTGTTGATTCTTGTATGTGCACTAACCCAAGATCGAACCCACAACACAGAAGATTTTTAGGGCAGTGAAACTACTTTGGATGATACTGTAATGATAGATACATGTCATTATATGCTTGTCAAGACCCACAGAATATACAATATCAACAGTGAACCCTAATGTAAACTATGGACTTTGGGTGATAATGATGTGTCAGCGGAGGTTCAAGGACTGTAACAAATGTTCCACTCTGGTGGGGGATGTGATGAGGGGAGGCTGTGCCTGTGAGGGGGAAGGGGGTATATGGGAGACCTCTGTACCTTCCCCTCAATTTTGCTGTGAACCTAAAACTGCTCTAAGAAATAAAGTCTATTAAATTAAAAAATAATGAATAAGGGTAAAGAGAAAAGTAATTAGTACAAATAATGAATAATTATTGAATACTTTGGTCCCTATCAGTGTTCTAAGTACTTTAAATGCATTAATTCATTTATTTCTCATAACAAGCCTATAAGGTTGCTACTATTATTATCATTCCCATTTTACAGATGAAGGAACTTAGCCACAAAGAGCTTAATAGGATCTTCTAGGCAGCCCAACTTCAGACCCTTTGCTCTTCATCATTATGCCCAATTGCTCCTTGATGTAAATTAAATCCATTGAGGATTCATCTTGCTAAACTTGTATCACGTGAATATATCATATTTCTTTTTTAAGCCAGGAAAGAATACTTTTTTTCGAGAGAGACACCGTATTTTCCCCCTAGGTGATACAATCCATGTTAATAGGGTAAGGAAACTCTGCCCATGATCTGTAGGTAGACTGCACTCTGGAACCGTTTCAGGGGGGAAAAAAATCACATCCCTGAAAAATTCTGTCTTTATGACCCGATTTTTAGAAATGTATCCTCACTTGGTGAGAAATAACTTGATTTTAAAATAGTCCATGGTAAGGTATGGCTTTATATTCAACTTTAAAAATCATAGGTTTTAAAATCTTCTATTAAACCTACAAAATAGGCATTTCCCACATCCTCTCCCTACTACCATATAACCTATAACTCAAAGGTCAACTCATAGGAATAGGAACATTTATCTGACTTTGTTCCTTGGACCCAGGAGACACGAAACAATATATCTCTGTCATAAAACTATGGAATAATCCTGAGCTGACAAGGCAGCAGACACCATGAGACTGTGCTCCTGACAAGCCCTCCCATGTTGGAGGGCTCATTGTCTCCTCCAGCACATCTAGCATAATGCCTGGCGCTGGATAATAATATTACTGTTATTTTGATCGATAATAATTTGGGAGTAATTCAAGGAAATAGAACATGAAATAGAAAGCCAATGGGTCTCCTCATTGCTGCTATGTTACTAGTAAGTGATGATATTTTGAGAGGTGATTTACATGACTAGAGTCTCAAAGTGAATGTAGAGTCCTGGGTATGAGAGCCACAAATAAAAAGGGAAAGGTAAGCTTTTTCAAGGTATCTAATTTCAGAGGAGATGAGACTGTGTGAGATGCAATGCAGATTATAGGAGTTGCGATGGTCTCAGAGGCATAAAAGGGCACATAGGTAATAAACTTCGCAGACAGCCCCCAACGCACCAGCACAGAACTCCCAGGACCACTACCAACTGTGGCAAGGTGGTGTCTTCCAGCTAGCATCATAGGCTGCAGACTTCCTCTGCACAGAGGACCCTAGTGTTCCCTCGCTTGTCCAGACAGAGTAACCAAGTGGGAAAACAATGAGGAGCCGTCCGAGGCTGTCTTGGACCTATTCTGTCACAAATGCCAACAGTCTCAGATGCTGAGATGAAAATGGGATCCTCCCCTTCCCATCCTGTGGCCCTCCCTGGGGGACACTTCTGCTCTCTCTCTGAGACCCAGGATGCGAGCCAGAATTCCTCCATGGCCCCCAGAAGCAGCAGCAGGATTGCACCGTCTATAACTTTATTACGGACACAGATAGGGTCAGGACTCTTTCTGGAACCACATTTCCAGCAACCCAAAAGTAACCCTTTGCCAAAGTTTTCCTTGACAATGGTCTTGAAACTCCCTCTATCAACTCATGAGGCTGACTGTGTCCACATTGTCTCGGTGGTTTGTCATATCCCAAAGTCCCACCCAGCTCTATTAATCCAGAATTCCTAAGGGTAGGGTTAGGGTTATTCTAGTTTAATAAGCTCCCAGGTGATTATGATTTGCAACCAGATTTTGGAACCACTGTTGTAAGACAGATAAGGGATGCAGAAAAAGCAATGGGAGGGTGGGATGGGCAGATGGATGATGATAGACGGTGAACTGAATGGTGCCATTTTGGATAAGAATGTGCTAGAACACAGGTTTAACCACATCACCCTCTTTGGCCCAACAGCCAAGAGTAACATTCAAAGCCTTCCACCATCAGCCCCAACTTACCTCCTACAACTCATCTCCCACTATCCTCCAGCCTGTTCTTTCCCTTCTACGGTCCCTGAGCCAAGAATGCACACTGCCCTGCCTGCAACTCCTCCATCATCTACTGATGGAAATCTTTCTCTTCCTCCCTGGAGAAGTTCAAATCCCCTCTTCCCAATGCCCTAAGACAGGGTTCTTGGCTCCTATACGTACATCTGTTTGGCACATATTACATACTGCCTTGTATTATGATCAATTGTAGACACACCCGTCACCTCCCAAACATTGTGAGATTGAGGACCTCTCTGGATGAGTCACTAATTTCTTACATAATTATTAGTGTCTACAGAAGCTGGGGACAGAGCAGTGAAAACACAGAAATCCCATTTGAATATCTCTCAGAATCTCACCTAAGGCTCAAAGAAAAGTTACTGAATCACTTAGATGGCAGATAGATGGAAGAAGCAGGCGTCTTGGAGCAAGAACAGTGGCCGCCGAAGGGAGATGGGGGTCCAGCCAGAGAGAACCTGGCACTTCTATCCCAGGGGCCAGACAGCAAGCACCTCAGGGACTGACCCTTTGCCAGCCACCACTTGTCCCCTCCTGGCTCTCACATATCCGCTCTTGCTTCTCACCCTAAAGGAAAGTCAAGCTGGCCAGGAACCAGCACAGGAGGGGAGCCACAGGTGCCCTCCCTGGAGAGGGAGGCCTCAAGGCCACATACCTGAGCTCCAGGCAGCCCAGCTGCAGGGCCATGCCCTCGCTGACCTTGCTGGCGTAGCGTTGCATGTAGTCGCTCCGGAGCTGGTGGGGAGAAAGGCCAAGGTTGAGACTCTTGCCCTCATTCCTGTTTTGCTGAGCAGAGGCTCTAGGAGCTGGTGGGTGCCTTGAACACAATCCTGCCACCACGAGCTGTCTCTCTCATGCGCCCACCCCACAAAAATGTGTAGCAGGAGATGAAGAGCAGAATGGGCTCACCCTTGGTTCTGCCCCTGCCTCCCTCCAGAACCCTGGGCAGTGCTGATCGAGCCTCCACAGGCTGAGGCCTTCGGGTTTTTGAAGTACTTTAGACATGTTCCCACTGGCTCCACGAGGCAAGAAGTTCAGATTCTCCTCCCCCACTCCTCATCTTGGAGATATGAAAACTGGGACTTGGGGGAGGAGTCAGAAATTTATCCAAAGCCTTGTGGGTTAAGTAGTGACAGGTGTCATCCACTGTACAAGTAAAGCCTGGCATGGTCTCCAGCAAACCAGGAGAGAGATATAGGAGAGGGCTAAGATCAGACAGAATATAATGATGGCAACTCACATTTACTTGGCATTCACTCTATGCCAGGTCTTGTGCTAGGAACTTTACATGCACTGTAGGCAGTGTGCTGGAGCAGCTCCAAACAGCTATTGAAAGCCAGTTATTAAATTTTTTGAAATTTTGCAAGCTGGCTGATATCACATAGGTAGCTTGAAACAGGCCTATTTACACCGTGGAAATTGGCATGTTCTACAAATCAGTTTTGTTTTTTTCTTGAGGGCTGGTTTACCAGCACACTGCTAATAATATTATTTGGTCCTCACAACAATCCTGTAAAGTAGGGTTGTCGTTATTATCATCCCCACTTTATAGAAGAAGAAACAGCTTTATGCAGCTGAAGTTCCCAGGGGTACCAGGTTAGTAAGTGGCAGAGCTAGAAAAGAAACCAAGTCTGTCAGATGGTAGAGCCTGTGTGTCTAAGACTACGGCCTTCTCTGTGGACCTGCTCTGCCTGCTTCACCAGCCAGCTCTCCTGGGGAGTAAATAGTCATCAGGAAAGTCCAAGAAGAGAGGTGAGCATATGGGGTGGGGCTAGCTGGCGCTTAATTAGTTGTGGGAGAAGCAGAGTTGGACAGCTGATCAGGGGCCAAGGAATGACCCCAAGAGAAGTTTCGTAGACTGGGACCTCCAAGGCTTTGTCCTTCCATCTCCTAGGAGAGATGGCTAATACTTGGCATTTAAGGTGTAATAGGACCCTGGGCATAGAAATTTTATCTTTTACCTGTTGATAAAAATAAAGCAGCGTGGTCCTGTCCTTCTTCAAGCTCTCCATGAAGTCCTCTGGCAAGTAGCGGATTTGAAGGTCATACCTGGGACAGGAAATTAAGACTCTTATATTTAAAGGAGCAGTAGAGCTGGCCAAGGGCAGAAGCAACCTCACCCACCACATGCAAGGGGCTGCCCATGCATTTCCTGGCCACCCATTTAGGACTTTTGATTAGCCACAGAGGATAGAGGGGTGGCCAACAGGTGATGGTCAGCAATAGTGCTGACTTCCCACACTTCCTCTTCCTGGCCACCGTTTTCCTTGGACCAGCCATTGGCCTGGCTCGCCTTCCTCCAGCACTTTTTTCCTCCCTCTCCATAACACCAACAGCATCCTGTCTAGGGATGTTTCTAGATATCTGCCCTGGATGGAGATGTGCAATGAGCCCATGGTAAGCCTTGGCAAATACATGCATTGGACACCACAGGAAGACTAAGCCTAAAATATCACTAGGATGTTCTAGAAGACTCTCAGAGGTTTGGAAGTGCTCCAAGGAAGGACTCTCAGGGCTCCCCCACCCCATACTCATCTCCCCCCCTCCCATTCAAGAGCCCAGGGCTCCTCTCCTACCTCCACTCAGCCTCCACGTGTAGACATTCATATTTGTCCTGCACCTCACCCACAGTCATCTGTGGGTGCAGCCAGTGGATCTCATCAGACTTCATATGCTTCAGCCTCAGCCCATAGCACTCAGCCAGCTGGATGTTGGGCCCGATCCGCCCGCTCAGCAGGATGGAGGCAATGACCTCCTGTGGAGGAAAAGACAGGGGCATGACTCAGAGGTGCCTCCTTCTAGGCTCCCACAGCCCTCATGCAGCCCCAGAAGTGCGATTCTCTAGGGTGAGGTTCCGTCTTAATGTTTTATTCATCTGTGATTCTCTAGCACTTAGTGCAAGGCCTGGTACACAGTGGGCTCTGTGTGATGAATGAACAAACTGGCAAAGTGAAGGAAGAAACAGAAGAAGAGCAGAAGAGAAGGAGAAAATGCAAGGAGGCAAAGAGCACAAATTCTGTGCTTCTGCATTTCATTCCAACCAAACCAATTAATAATAACCGAGCATCCATCATGCAAAAAGCACCCTCTGAGTGGTTGCCAATTTAGCCAGCATTACTCAGAGTCTGCAGTAGGCACTTCTAGGCACTTTGCATACATTACTTCATGAAATCCATACAACACAGGAAAGTAGGTGCTATATCCCCCATTTGGTTGATGAGCACACTGATGAGGCCAAGCAGCTCATGGAACTAAGCTGGGGTTTTGAACCCTGGTCCACTGGACTCTGAGGATTTCTACTAGACCAAGCTGCTTTGTGGGATGGTGGAGCTGGGTGAGACAGAAGGACAGGACTCACATTAAGGGATTAAGTGGCACAGTCCCCACACAGGAAATAGAGTGTTGGTAAGAAATTAGGCGCTATTCCTGCTTTCTTGACCAGAAGTCAGCCTCCCCGACATCCTGATGCCATAGCTCCCTGGCCTAGAACCAGAGCTAGATTAAAAGGAGGACAATTAGGTGACTGCCTGAAAGCCCATCTACAAGGCCATGTCTAGTTCTGAATCACGTTGGTTCCAGTTTCACTCAGGTTTCTCATGTGATTCCAGACATAACTAGTGAATCGAGCCTACCCCTGGTGAAGCAGAGAGAATCATCAAAGGTAAATTTTTTAAAATGTGTTTTTATTTCTTTCAGAGACAAAGGGAGAGGGAGAGAGAGATAGAAACATCAACGATGCAAGAGAATCATTGATTGTCTGCCTCCTGCACGCCCCTGCTGGGGATCGAGCCTGCACAACCTGGGTATGTGCCCTGACCAGGAATCAATTCATGACCTCCATTCAAACACTGAGCCACATTGGCTGGGCTCAAAGGCAAATTTTAAAACTCTCAGGCACTGACCAATCTGTTGAATATCTTTGCAATGTACATGCACCAAGCCTGCATACAATCATTTATAACAGGGAGAAAATAATAGCACTTATTTCAAATGGTTTTATGAGGATTAAATTAGATAAAATTCCTTAGGACAGAAACTGGCATAAGGTAAATACTAAGAAAAACGCTAGCGTTATTTCAACATAGCAATCCAGTGTAGATTCTGGTACTTTTGTAAAAACAAAGGAAGACTGGGAAAACAAAAGAAAAGCCTGGTTTCTTCTCCTTCATCTTTTAAATCTCTTTTTCTTTTTCCTTCTCTTGGGGGTGGTGGGATGACCAAAGGTCAAAGTAGTGAGGCAGATGGGGTGGCAGTGGCTGCAAAGCCAGAATAGGAGCAAAGGAGGGGGTGGGGCTGGGAGGAGATGGCTGGAGCAGTCAGGAGATTAATTACATACAGGGGGGTTGAGAAAATGAGTAAATATATTGAGGATAATGGGGAATGGGTTTCTTCCTGTTGGAGAAAGTACTTGAAATATGGAGAGGGGACGGTTAGAGAGAACCCTTGCTGAGGGATTGGAATTGGAAGTATTGCTGGGAACTCATGGAGAGAGAGAGAGACAGAAAAACAGAGAGAGGGAGAGAACACACCAGCGCTTTGCTCACTGAAAGTGCCTAGGACCAATGATGTCCTGATGGTCATTTGCACACCAAACAACGAGTCTTAGTTTCCAAATATCCTTCTTCACTAAAAGGATCCGGGGCTCCTGGAAGAAGTGGCTGATTTCAGGGCTAAGGCAAATACAGCACAAGATGAGCCTTTTTGTGCTAGAAAAAAGGGAAGAGTTTAGAGAATGTTGGGGCTATATAACAAGGAAACAGAAGCAGCTTAAAGGGGCTGCCACTGGCCAAATCTTGGACAACCTAAGCATTAAAATACACAAAATAGGAATAGATTACATCCCACTGAATAAAATAGAATCTGAGATAAATAAATAAAGGAAGGAAAAGGAAATGTTCTTCCTTACACTCAAATGCCAACTAGTAAATGTAGAAGGAATGGAAATAGAAAATCGCCATTTGCAACAAATAGCGCTGGTGGGTTGGTTTGGGTGTGATTCATCAATGGATGATAAACCTGAAGGGTGGAAGTCTGATGATAAATAGGCTATTGGCATGATCTTAGCATATCTTCCCTCAGACACTAATCATATACTAAGGAAAACCTGGCAGACGTAAATGTCCAGGTCATCAATGTTATCATCATCATCAGTAGATCAAGTAAACAGAGCATGTCTCTCACCTTGACCCACTAAGAGGCACACAGCACCATTTCTGAGAAATTCATTTCTGCCAAAATGCATGACGGAATCTGGTTATGACACTGAGGGTGAGGGGTCTTTTCAGAAATTGATAGAATAAAAGGCCAGCACTCTTTCAGACCTAGGACCTCTTTCAGATTAGAGAAGACCAAAGAGGTAAGACAGCTAAATGCATTGTGAATTACAAAGCAGCTAGCTGGTTTGTAGCCAATTTGTCAGAAGTGTGGGTGGCCTGGGAACCATGGAGTTTGAAACTGGGGTCTGAGGAAGGAGGGGTCTTGTAGGGGACTGTGCCCTCAACCTGTGAGGTCTGTGCTAGCTCCAGAATTGCACTGCAAAGTACACCAATCCTTCAGGCACACCCTGGGAGCAAAGGGGTTGACCATCACAGGTGACATAGAAAGAGCACTCACTTAGGAGTCACACAAACCCAGGGTCTGACCTCAGTTCTGACAGGTGCTTCAAGGAGAATGACAAACTCCTTGAGCCACAGTCTCCTTCCTGCCGGCTCCTCCTTTGTCATGCAAAGCTGCAGAATGTCTTCTTCATTCAAACCATCAGCAACAATCTATGACTAGTCTGCAAAGCTTCATCAGGAGCCTCAGTGAGCACATAGAGCCCTGCCCTCAAGGAGCTTCTATTAAGTGGGCTGGCAGAAGAAAGTAGCTTAAATTGAGGGGGGAGGGTCCCACAGTGGGGTAGGGAATTAGTTTAAATGAAGAAAAAGGTTGAGGTTTGACATGATCTCACTGTGGAGGCTTTGGGATGAGCCCTGCCTCCCTCACCCTTTACTGCCGCTTCCCACATACTCACACAGCTCCTCAAGCAAATGGTGGGAGCAGCAAAAACAGCCCTCTGCCCACAGCTCATAGATTGTCATTAATGAGTCAATATTTCTTTCTCTATTAATAAATCACTTTTCCAAAACAACAGTATAAGATGTCTACCTACTCACTAAATTGCCATATGTAACCTGATAGGGAAAAAGAAAACGCTGTCTTAATTTTATCAGTTGCTATTTAGATAAGACCAGGATTCTTTTTCACTACAGGAAAACCGTTACTTCTGCTCACGCGGGAGCTATTGAAAAGCAGGCCCTCAGATTGCCAGTGGCTCGCGGTGTCTGCTGCTTTATTGCAAACGGAGGGATTTCTGTGGCTTTCCTTCCTGCTTGGCTAACATGGATTTATTCTGTTTATCAAATAGTGTGAAGACCCCAAGCTGCCTTTGCCCCTCTTCCTCTTCTCTGGCATTTCCTCTTATAGGTCAGAAACAAAGAAGGCTTGTACACCTGTCCCCATGCCCAGGGAAATTTCTTTGCAAGGAAAACAAAAGGTCACCCAAGAAATTAATTACTCAATCCACTTTCTCTTCCTTTCCTGGTACTCAGCCACATTTCCCTCTTGGAAATTTATTTTTGTGTACAGCGTGAGAAATGGTTTAAAATTAATTTGTTTTTACAAGGATGTCTGACATTAGGTGACTACATGTGCAGGGCTGTTTTTCGTCTTTTTCTGTTCCTTTGATCTAATAATGTTCTATCGTTGTATCTCAGCCACATTCTATAGCTTCTTCAGTCTCATGATTTTCTTAGGTCCGCCTTTAAAAAAAACTACCTATTTTTTTTTTTAATTCTTGAGCTTATAAAACATATTTCATGTTAGTGGGGCTGGGTTTTTAGAAATATCATGATAGCTGAGACCCCCTTCCCCCCACCTTCCATTAGAATTGGTTCACCTTTACTAAGATCACACCTCTCACTGGGGCAGCCTGCACCCAGTGACTGGTCACTGCTTCAGGGTGTAAAGGTCCTGACCTTTCATCCCAGCTTCAGAGCTCCCTGAGTTATGACAGCATCACAGGCCAACTTCTCCCTCTGCCCATCCTGCATCCCTCACTCCCGCCAGGGGAGTTTCACGAGAGTACTCATGACATGCTTCATGCATGCAAACCTCCTTCTCAGGGTCTGCCTTCCCGGGACCCAACCTGAGGCACTGGCCTCCGAATTGCTCTCAAGCTTGATTTAACTCGCCTCCTTACTTTTTGCTTTATGAAGTCAAAATGCTCCTCTTTTTAGAAATGATTGAATTTAAAATTTTAATAAATCAAAGCCTTCGTTCCAAAAAGTCTTGCCTGAATTCTATTTAAAAGGTGTCACGTTGAGATTGAGGGTATTTTCAAACAGGTGACTTTTTGTCGAAAATCCTCATTGGTTCCTGCCTGCTAGGATAAGATCCAAACTCTTTAGCATGAGGCACAAAAGGCCCTTTGGAATTTTCCTCCACGTGTTCTTTCCAGTCTCAGCTCCCACTCCCATCCATGCTGTGCTCTTAGCTCCCGCCTCCCAGAATTACCCTTTCTTCTCCAAGCACAGCATGCTCCTCTTGCCTGAAGGGCCCCTGGTTCCCCTCTCCCTCCTGTCCTCTTGCCTGGGTGAGCTTCCAGTTAACCTCTAAAACCCAATCAGCACTGTGAGGTCCTCTGGGAAGCCCTCTCTGACTCACTTTGAAGGGTTGCTTCCTCCTCTGGATTCCCAAAGAACTTTGCACACACAT